AGGGAAACATATTGATAACATTTTAGAGAGATTTTAATTTATACAGTTAATTTTTTTAAAACTAAATTCAGCCCTTTAAAGAATCAAGCTTATGCTAATTGGAAATTTTGCTAGTGTTTGAACAGATGCTGGATAAGTGAGGTGTTATGACAGGTACAGATTTGGCCTGTAGGTGAGGGCCGACTTCTTGAACTAGTGGAATGCATGCTTGTCCCTCGTTAAACATGGCCTTTAACAAGAAAGGGACACAGGCCCTGCCATTGGCCATTGGCCTGGGTCGTACCCTCCACCTGGCCTGGAGGGGGACACTTTTGGGTTATCTTTTGTTGTTTTGTTTTGTTTTGTTTTGTTTTGTTTTGGGGGGGTTATCTTTTGAATTGCAACAAATTTGAGATAAGGACAGAGCAAAAACTGAGGTGATTGGCATCACCAGACTTTGCCCAGCTGTCCTACACTGAGGTACCCACCCTCTCTCTTATTTCTCTGCCTGAGAGCAGAGAGGCCCCCCAGGATGATGCGCTACCAGGAACTGGGCAGTGGGAAGACCCAGAGCTGCTCCCATCTTAACCGCCCGCAAACTGGCCCATCCCAGGGCGAGTCTTTCTCTGAAGGTCCGTCTAGTGCAAAGGCAGATGTTTGAGCAAGTGGGCAGGCGTGCAGGGAGAGCAAGGTGCGGTTCCGTACGTGAGGATCACAGTTAAAGGGCCTCATGTTTTGTTGCTGAGAGCAAACAAGGCCACTTGAGGGTGAGGACGGTGGTTCCCAGTCGTAAGCCCCACGTCCTCATGAGGGAAAGCTGTCCTAGGTTACCTGTGGCTGTAGACCAGGCAGGGCCAGGAGCCAGCACCCTCACGCTCTCTCCTCTCCTTCAGGCCTTGTCTGTGGGCATCTTCCCCTACGTGCTGAAGCTGCTCCAGAGCTCGGCAAGGGAGCTGCGGCCTCTTCTTGTTTTCATATGGGCCAAGATTCTCGCCGTGGACAGTGTGAGTAACCTGTGTGTCCTCCTGGGTGTGAGGGGGTCTCTGCGCGCTCACTGACCACACTTCTCTCCGGCTTTTCTCCTTGAACCCCGGACTGCCTGGCCTCTGATGGGAGTGGCTGCTGACGTGGGCAGGGCTCACTGAGTGCTATGGGGCTGGTTTGCCCCAGTTACCGCTTTCTCCTTTCTCCCTTCCACTTCTTGTCCTACCCTTCTGCCAGCCTCATGCCTTCAGTTGCCATTACCTCCTTCCCTCCTCCAGGCACTGCTGGTCCCTTCCTTTCTCCCAGAATAAAGGAAATGCTGCCCCTCAGGGCCCAATCCTGGTCTCTGTCCCCCAGCCGTTGGCTCACCCGTGCTGTGTGCACGCCACTTGTTGTCCCTCCTCCCCGTCCCTGTGCTCTGCCTCCTCCCCGTCCCTGACCACCCCTCCCGCCAGTAAATGACCCTGACTACTTACTTTCTTCTTGAAATTTGGCCCTGCGTTGTATGGACCCCTATCGGTCTCTTCTGTCTCCAGCAATTCTTTTCCCTCCCCTGCCCTGACTGTGAGAACAGGAGCACGGAGGCCTGGCCTGTAGGGCTTGGCCCTGCAGCACTAGCGGTAACTTCTCCACCGTGACTGCCTAGCCTGCATCTCGAGCTCTGCCCTGCAGTAAGCATCTCCCCCACTCCTCATGCCTGCTGGGCCTGCAGTCATGTGTACACTCCACAAAGATCTAGGCAGGGCCCTATACTCAGAACTGTACAGAAGGCTGTAGGGGACGCAGAGGTGAGCCATCTCTGCCCTCAACAGGCTCACTGTCCAGTGGGGATAAAACCCCCTGCATGAGGCCAGAAGTCACACATCCCATCGGAGTTGCATGCCACAAGTGTGACATTTCAGAAACAGGAGGACCTGAGAAATCTTATGGGCGGAGCTGCATTTGTGCTGGACTTAGTGAGGGGTATTGAGGAATGTAGATTTCAGGTAGGGGAGGTGGGAGAGTGGAGACAGCTTGAGCAAGGGACAGAGGAGGGCCAGCACAGGGGACACTTAGAGGAGGGCAGACAGCCCCGCTGGGCTAAGGTACTGGAGATATATGGGGGCCATCAAAGCGGAAGCTGGTAATTCCAAATTTAAGAGTTCAAATTTCATTTAGCAGGCATGAGAAACTATTACAGATTTTGGAACAAAGAAACAATAAGAACCAAGGTGTGGTTTATAAAATGTCTGGCCTCGGTGTAAAGTAGATTATAACCAAGGGGCAGGGAGCCACTGAGGAGACTGCTCTAGTAATTCATGCCGGATAGGTCAGGGTGGCTGGGGAGGTGGGGGCGATGGGCAGGAAGCGCTGTGGGGGTGGGAGGATGCAGAGTTAACAGAGGGCCAGGTGGATGTGGGGGAGAAACTGTGCCTGAGTTTGAGCCTGTGTGGTGGGAAGGGTGGCCGTGTCAGTGATAGAGAGGGTAGCCGGGAGAGGCGGACATGCACAGGAGACCACTGGTGGTGAGGCCCCGTGGCCTGAGAGATGGAGACTGGGGACCTCGTCCACCCAGCGATGGTGACAGGGGAGCCCTCAAAAGGAAACGTAGAAACAAAGGCTCAGGGGCTGAGGCTAGAACTCCGGGGCTTCTCTCGGGGAGGATTTTCAGAGAAGGGAGAGAGGCTCGGAAAGTCAGATTTACAGAACACAAAGAAAGAGGCTCCAGGATAAGGGTGAGTGCTGGGTGCGGGCAGACACATCACGCTCTGCAGCCCTGTGGAGACAAGTCACCTCAGAACAGGCTATCGTGTTTGGCAGTCAGCATTCAGAAGAGCATGTGTGTGTGATGCAGAGATGAGGAAGAAACTGGATGGGCAGGGAGCGCTAGGGAAGAGCGTAGCAGAGCGAGAGTCCACTTGCTTGAGGACTTTGGTAGGTGAGGAGGAGAATCAGCATCAGCGCAAGGATGGATGGATTTGCTTGCTTGGTTTGAAGCCAGTAGTGACCTAAACGGTCTCTATTTGGGAGAAAAGAACCAGTGGAGAAACAGAACGGTATTTCAAATGGAACGTTGACCAGCCTGTTGTGTGTGTGCCCATGTGTACATGCTGCGTGTGCACATGTGTGCATGTGTGTGACGCCCAGTGGCAGGAGCTCTTGTGTGAGGTCTCGTAATTCTTATCTTAACTCTGTGCAGTAAGTGTGATTTTGCAGATTATTTACAGATAAGAAAATGCTCATTTAAAGTGAGCTGCCCAGGATCGCAGAGCTAATCTGTGAACAAAACCTGCCATGAGCTCAGGGCCTCTGAGGCTGCGTGGAGCTCTTCTGCCCCACAGAAAGGGGGCATCAGCAGTCACGGAGAAGTGGGGAGGAGGCGAGGGCATCCATTCACTTCTCTGAGAGGTGAGTGAAAGCAGGGTAGGAGGGTCTTAACACAGGGGCCTGCTCTGTTCTGCCAGCCCCTCCTCGGTCACCAGAGCTTCCGCCAGCCTAAGCCTCTTCCTCCACAGCCATGCCTGGTCGGTCAGCAGGGCCGTGCGCCAGTGAAGTAGCCCTGCAGTCCGCCCATTACCTTGTGCTCCCACCCTCTGGGCACTGGCCGGCCTGGAGATGCCAAAGCACCTCAGGCAGGTCCTGGAGCCAGTCCTGTCCTTGCCGCCGCACTCGTCCCTCAGGCCTGCACGCTGCTGCCCGGAAACCTCTGAGCTGCCCCTCCGCTCACATAACCCTCTTTGCTCAAGTCCCACTAACAAGCCCTTGGCAGCTCAAGTCCGCCCGCCCGCCCGCCGTGTCTCCCACCTCGCTCCCTAGGGACCTGGCTCCTCCTCTCTCACTTGGCCACTGCGCTTACCCCCCACAACCATGTCTTTGAGTCCCCACAGCAGCCAGGCCTTCACTGTGAGGGGGCCAGAAACGGAGGGAACAACCACCTGAGGATGTGAGTGTCACAGGCGCGTCCCCCTGAAGGTGTTGTAGTGTGTGTGTGTCTACCGTGAAGGCTGCTTTAATTATGTTGTGTTTGCTGATTGTTGATGTATGAGATCCTTGCTGTTTTTGTTTATCCATTGTGTATAGCAACCTTGTTGAGTCTTACGAACTCTGAGAGTTGACCTGTAGGTTCTCTTGGCTTCTCTGTACAGATGACCACATTGTCTGCAAAGCCAGCCAGCCCATAGGCCTCACTCTCTTCCTGATCTAGTGGTCCTGACCAAGGCTCTCACACAGTGTGAAATGGAGGCAGTGACTGACACGTCCTTGGATGTTCCTGGTCTTCATGCTCTTCTTGATGTTGGAAACTGCCTCCTTCCTCCTTAGTGCATCCAAGGCTGACTTTGACCTCAGTTTTACCTTGACCCTTCTTGGGCCCAGGGCCCTGCGCATGGCTGTGTCCAGTGAATGTTCTGTTGCTTGTCCGCTCCAGAATGATGACCAGAATATTATATATTTCAACAAAAGATTTATCTTCCTATCCATTGAACTAACTTTGGGTGAACAATGACTTCTTTAAAAGATTGTCTAAAACACTGGATTTAAGAGTTTAAAAAAAAACTAAATTTCAGGGCCAGCCCAGTAGCGTAGTGGTTAAGTTCGTGCACTCCGCTTCGGCAGCCCGGGGTTCGCAGGTTTGGATCCCAGGTGTGGACCTACGCACTGCTTATCAAGCCATGCTGTGGCAGGCGTCCCACATACAAAGCGGAGGAGGATAGGCATGGATGTTAGCCCAGGGCCAGTCTTCCTCGACAACAACAACAAAAAAAACTAAATTTGAGTCGTGTCGCCCTCATTTACTTTAGCAAGCCATTTTCACTTCCCATAGCCATCATCTGTACCTCTGTGACATAACGGCAATACTGCCTCTAGTAGCAAGGTTGCAGGGTCAGAAGCAGATGTGTGCAGCCGCCTGGGGATTTTGGAGCAAAGGGAATAAAGGCACACACCCCTGTCTCCCCTGCCGTGGCAGTTGCACTGAGCCCTTCATTACTGAGCTGAAAGCTCGGTTTTGTGGACCAGGAAGCTATACCTCTTGGTCATCTCTATTTTGCTCTTCTTCAAATTTCAGTGAAGAGCCAAGATATAAACAAAAGGGCTTTTCTCGGGAAGTTATTTTGAAACTTTGTCTCTCTGCTGCTACAATACCTTGTCATCTGTGTCATGCATTTAGAAATTTATTGACACCGTTTTTGGTACCTGGCCATTAAGGACCAGGTGCAGAGATTCCTGGGTGCATGAAACAGAGACTAATGTGACGCAAAGCCCTACAAAGGAGAGGGACAGAAAAGCTGCCACCCACAGAGGAGAGGGGCTGCCATCAACCACCCCAAGCCTACCTCCCCGGGGCCCACCAGTGCTGCCTGAACACGTTGAAGCCAACATTGATTCTTGAGCTTATCAGTATTTTTAATATCTTTTAGTACCTAGAAATAGATGGTGCCTTTAATTTTAGGCCACTTGGGCCACTTCAGCCACTTCGTAGTGGCTATTTCTGCTTTATTTTTTTTTCGTTACATGAAAGTGGATGACCCTTCTGAACTGCACTTGGCTGTTAGTCTCATGGATTTTACAGTTGATCATCATATTTCAGCATAAGGAATCTTGTTAAAACTGCCCCTTGGTCACCTTTGTCCACAGGGACCTGTTTATCTCCAGTGTCCACATGGGAGGGCTCAGTCATGGGCACAGATGCTGTGATGGTCCTTCAGCACACCTGCCATAAGAAAGGCTCAGGGCCCTGTGTTTCATATCTGCACGATGCTGCAGGAATTATATGTTTCATAATGCTTGAGGAGCTGTTCTCCGGCCCAGCTGGAAATGCCCTCTCCTGCAATCTTCTTGTAAATGCCTGCAGGCGCTGGGCATCATCCTGTGAATTCATTTCTTCACCAGCTTGGTGCACCTGTTTATTTAAAGGCAGTCATCCCATTGAGAGACTTGTTGAAACGTTTCTGGTTGAGACGGCATTATTCACCTCTTCTTTCCTTTTCATGACCACCGTGGCCATAGTTTCCCAGAGACTGAAGTTCCATATGCTTTTGGG